TTCTCTCCTCACATCATTTTCTTATTTGAACCAAAACCTATATACATATATATATAATAAAAACGTAAAAAAATACAAAGTATAAAAAATTCTAAAATTAAATTTAATGAAACTTTTAAAAAACTAAAAAATACAAAACCCAAAAGCTATCAACAAAATATGTAAAATAAGATAAATTTTTTGTAAAACTACTAAATGTATGAGAATTAATTAGAAAGAGTTTTTGAAAAGTCGTTATTTAAAAAAATAAGGATGCATACAATTAAAAAAAAAACTAAAAAAGATAAATTAATATATAAATTTTGAAAACATTCAAATACATCAAATTAATTTTATAAATACTAGAAAATTGTAAAATATAATTGTTAATTCCAGATATCCAATAACACTAGATTATAGAACAAAAGGATTGAAGGGTTAAGTTCCGATGCAGTATCAAAATGATAATGATGAACATACAGGGCGAGGTATGAAATGGTGGCTCCTCTCTTCTCTCTACACAATACATGAATTCCTAATTGCCAAAGTTGTTATGATTCTTAAGGTTAAACAAGTTTAGCCTTCAGGTATATAATATCTGAAAGTTACGCTTATGTATTACAAAAGACATCTAGACCCAAATACAAAAGTTGGCCCAACTAAATAACTATTCCTTTTAATATACAAATACAAAGATAACTAATGCAATTGTACATAATAAATGATTTCTAGCAATCTTCCTCTTTGTGTCAATTTGCATTGTTGCACGGGTCATCTTTTCTTTTTGTCCCGGAATAAGCCACACGAGGTGGTAGGGTGGTAACACTTCCCTGTTTTATTAATAATTAATTAAAGGATCCCAAAGATAGAGTAAAAGCATACAGTAAAATAAAGCTTAAAACGAAAATAAAGAAAGTTAATAGTTGGAATTTTCAATGGGAATTCCAATAGTAGATGAAATATTCATGTTGTATCTATAGTGGAAACTGATTGCCTGCATTAGATATGGTTGGTAGGTTTTAACTTCCGGACGAGATAATTTGTAAAGCTTGAGAACTGTCGCCAATTTGTGCGGTGACTCAAGTCGCTGATCTACCGGGTAAAGGAAATAATGTAGTGCATTTTGGGGTTTATGAGAATGACTTTTGATGCACTTTGGTGACGACAACTCTAAATACACGTTCCACTTCTTCAGAAAAAGTTACACAATATAAAGTTCAGGGAAATAAAAACTGATAATCCTGCCTTTACTGGTCTTCCTAGAATTGTCTCACCAAACCACAATCTCATTATAATCTCACTTTTGCACTTCATCTTCTTTGTTCATCATTTCTGGTTTTTTCCTTTTCTTTGCAAATCATTAACCTATAAATCTCGTCTTATACAAATTGTTGAGGTATATTATCTCGACCTACTACTTTTCGTGAACCCAAGGTATTACCCCAGTATGAAGCGGGAAATTCTATTCACAACCAGCATTTTACTAAATACAACCACACATTCCCTCAGCATACCAACTGCACCATATTCCCGTACATTCAAAGAGTTTGAAGCCGAAGATTGTGGTTCGACAACCTTCTCATTGCAGCCATTCTCCCTCCAGCCACACTAATACAATTAACTTCAATGTAATTTATGGAGGAAAAAGATGAATGATTAGCTTCTTATTTCACAACCTTCTTAATTGATTTTTCCCCATCACGTGTTTCCTATATTCAATATTAATTCCCAGAAAAAAGGCGTTTCAAGGTTTGTGATTTGCAATTGTTCACAAATTAGGGGCTGTGGAATCCAAAGTGTTGGAGCTGACCAGGAAGCCGGAGAGGGTAATTGGAGTCGTTCATCATCACCACCACCAATATTCCCATGTAATAATCAACACACATCAAGTGGGTCTCTCTACAGTCCAAGGCCTGCCAACACCACCCATGGGAAGCGTAGCGTGAGGCGGTGGCAACTAATTCCAAGGCATGTCGGACCCAAGATGCCGGCAACCAGTAACCACCAACAATTGGTAGCACTGATGAAAAGAAGATGAATGAGATATTGTTAGAGCATCAATCATCTTTCAATTCATAAACATTGATAACTAATGGAATTTAGAAACTAATTCTCCGGTTTGTCAAAAAACAAGAAACTAATGGCTTGTCCAGTCCCACGCATTCTCTCGATGCCGGCAATTGGTGGCGATGATGATGAACACTCCAATAACCCATAGTTGAATTATTAATTGGAGCTGACCGAAAAGGCAGAGACTTGTCTAGAAAAAACTGTTCATCGAATTTGCAAAATCTTTGATGTACATGTAAATATTGGGCGCACTTTGTAGGCTAAGGACATAGTCGGATTTGAAAAAAAAATTGTGGCTGTATCTAGTAAAATTGTGGTTGTTAATAGAATTCCATCATGGAGCTCGATTGATGAGACCCATTTCAGCCTATCTGACACATTTCAGCCCATTCAGGCCATTAGGGTAGATTTTATTCCCTACCCCTTTTCCTATAAATAGGAGGCTTTCTCTCCATGTAAAAGGTTGGCTTTTTAGACGCTTCTTTTCCCCCAACTCTACTTCTCTCTCTAGAATAGCTTGGAACTCTATTAATGGAAGATGATATTTGTACATTGTAATGGTATGGAGAGTATTAATGAGAATGAAAGTGACTTGGAAATTAGCCCAAAAAGTCACGCGATTTTCTCTCTTTCGGGTCTCCACGTAAAAACAGAGCATGTACACATATTTATATTTAAATTTACTATTTCGTGTTACATTAAACTTAACACAAATCTTCTCAAAATGATCTCACACGTGATTTTTGATTCTTTTTTATACATGTACTTCTTAACTTTTTTCTAAGTGTTATGTACATTTATATACATTTCATCCAAAAAAAGAAGAACCGTAGTTTCAAACATTTTTAAAAAGACAAAAGTCAATAGAGAATTTATTAAATAGGACTAAAGATCAAATAAGTACCATTTTGGAAACAAAAATAGTTAATCCATTTGTGCATTTTAGTTTTAAGGCTAAATGGTCAAATAGATCCATGTATCGATCGTGTAAGCTCGTTTCAGTCCCTGAATTAACAAAAGGTTCAATTCGCACTCCGACCGACAAAAAGTGGTTCAAATTTCATTTTTTACGAGTAAACAACCGATCATTTTTTTTATTGTTTCTGTGTTTTATTTTCGATTTATTGTATTTTTGATACTTTTTAATAGTTTAAGGGTGCAAGTTGGATCTATTTTACCGGTTATTTACCTATAAAAGATGAAATTTGAATCTTTTTTGCCGGTTGAGAGTGCGAATGACACCCTCTTTTGATTCAGCGACCGAATACCCGCACGGGTAGCTTAGTTGGTCGAGTGGTGGGAGATTTGGAACAATGGACCAAGGTTCGAATCCCCGCAACGACCGGGTGGAGGTCACAGAACCTGAAATAAGGCTGAGCCTCTGGTGCGCACGGGTGTATGAAACTACTGCCATTCTGCTGACTGAGTCAGCATGACTAACCTTCCCAACATTCTGTCGGATCGGGGTGGGGCTCCTGGGGTGGGAGATTCCACTTTTGGAACAATTGATTCAGCGACCGAATTAAGCTTAGGTAGTTTTAATTCTATTTGCGTAGGTCAGCATGACTAGAGCATTATGACACGGTCGAAGATGGATAGAAAAGTATTGTACGAGTTTTTAAGACGAGGATTAAAAAAGAGAGAATTTCTAAAATAGGACTAAAAGATGAGACAATTGCAAAAACAGGACCTATTGTTTTAATTTTCCTAAATAAGACTAAAAATTTGTGTTTAGACAAGAATAACCTTAATGAAACCGCCGTAACATTTTATGCGCATCCCATCCTTGCCGCAGCCATCACCCAAACATGTGCGGCAACATCTTCCAGTGTCGCAACTGGGTATCCTCCAGCAAGTTCGCCACCTCCGCTGAGTTCGCCGCCACCATCCTCCGACGAAGCCACCGTTCTCCGACAAGTCCCTGCAACCTCCATCGAGAATGCCACTTGATATGCGAGAATGCCACTTGGTATGCATAATGACACAATAATGACAATTTCGTATAGAATCATGGGATTCTCAATATGACAATTTTAAATACTGTAATGACATAAAAGAGACATTTTTCAAAAAAAGTGTCATTTTTTTGAGAATCATTAGTTAGGACATTTTGAGGATCAAATTAATCAAAAGTGATAAGAAGAAATTCAAGTTGAGATATATCCTATTACTTGTCCTGTTTGTAAATCTAGCTCTTCATTTGAGTAATAAAATTACATCTTTATAAAGTGACTAGCATAAAAATGACACTATTTTGTCAAACGGGCAAAAAACATGACATTTCATATATTTTTATTTCAAGGTGATCTTGTCAGTTTAATATATTTGTGACCTTTTTTTAATTCAATTTTAAATAGTTATGAAATTTTCAAATTCAAAAATAATAAAATAAATTAAAAATCCAATAATTTTTTTATAACACTCGTTGCTCAAAACTTGTTCAATTCCCGTCCCCTCTAACCTTATTCAATTGTCATCCCAAGGGACAAAATTTATCAGATCTAATTGAATCCCAAGGGACAAAAACAGAGCACGACCAAGAAGGAAGTGGAAGAGAAAGAAGAGAGGAGAAAAGATGAGAAGAGAAGATAGAAGGAGAAGAAGAAATTACTTGATTCCATGAGAAAAATTGCAGAAGGCTGTCGGAGATGGAGAAGTTTGGCGGTTGCTATGGATGCGGTACCGACGAGCAACGGCAGCGGCGATGGTTGTCGCTGATGAGGAAGGAGCTGGACAACAACTCCTAAACCGGGGAGATGCAGATCGATGTAAGAGACGGTGATGTTGGATTTAAATAGGGGAATGACAAAAATGTAATCTGGAGTCTTATTTAGGGATAAATAAACTTATACTCCTATTTTGGAGTTTTGACAATGTTTTAGTCCCATTTTGTACAATTAAGGTAAATGATGGGATGAAACGAATCAGGCCGCACACAGGAATGCGTCCGTCCCTATGCATGGCCCAGCCCTCGCCCCTGGATTTCCTTCCCCGAATCAGCCGTTTCTGTTCCAACACTTATCCCTCCCTCCGTATATCCATGTCCATATGCCCCACCCCGGCCCCGGGCACCAATACCTGTCATCCTCATCAAGTCACCTCCTTCCGTCAATTCGCTACATGTTCCGTATGTTACCAAAATAGATCAGCACCACATTCACATTCACATATTTAAAGGGATCAGATCACTACTTATATCACTCCTATTTACGCCCAAATCATACATGGCCGCGCGTTTTGTTTGACCCGCATCCAATCTCCCACACTTATGGACCTCCTTTGATCGAACTGCACCACGTACCCTCCTTGAAAAAGTTCGGTATTGTTTTGGGAGTTCGTTTCTGATCGATGCTCCTTGACAATGGGGACTGTCAAAACTGGGAGTGATCGCAAAGGTAAGAACGGCGTCGCCAGAAAGCAGCGGAAAGGGCAGCAGAGAGTGGGGCCAGCGGCGGTTCAGAATTTGTATGATACTTGTAATGAAGTTTTTGCCGATTGCAGTCCAGACATCGTTCCCTCGCCGGAGAATGTTGAACGGGTCAAGGCTATTTTGGGTATAATTCTTTTTTCCTTTCAACAGTAAGAATGTAAGATTTATAAATGCTATGCTTGAAAATGTTCAAGAGTATTATGGTTAGTTACTTATTTGCGTTTTCACTTGATATCAACATTTCTAACTAACGACTTCATTTTCCATCCCTTAAAACTTTATCCGAAGTCCGTTTGAAAGCACTATTTTTAGGGTTACAAGCTTATCGGCCAACTTTTTCGGCACTTAACTTTTGCTTTCATGCTCTGAATTGCGTATTAAGCAGAAAATATATTTTTACGTATAATTTTTTCTTTATTTTATTAATAAAATATATTTTAATTTTTTTTTCTTAAATCATCAGAATCGGCCAATGCAGCCACTCCAGTCATAAATTCATAAATTTCAGCAAAATAAGCCAAAAAAAACCGATTTCCGTGCTACCAAACGGGTTCCAAATTTGATCAAAGTAAAAATGTTGGGTTTGAGATTTTTATATTAAAAATTCTGGGTGAACACATTTTTTGTTTATGCAGATAGAGTTAGAATTGTCTAGAGTTAGAGTTGTCTATGTACAAACAACTATGTGGGGTTCCATAGTTGTTTGTACGCATTTAAAGAAATTACAAATTAATTGATTAAGGGAAGTTTAATTGATTAAAGGGACTGCGACGAAGTTTTCTAAACAATCAAAAAAAGGAAAGGTGTACTTTTTTTGAAAAATTACATTTAAGGTGAAAAATCAGGGACAATGTAGGGGCGATGTAATGGCTTTGCGCAGCTGGATTTATATGATGCATTGAAATGTTCAACTTTTGGAAAAAAATTGATGGATAACTTTTCATATTTTGTATTTGAATATTGAGGAGATTGATAATGACGCTGTACTTCTTGCAAGTTATTCGCTCTTTTAGTGTTTATTACAAACAAAAAATGATATGAGGAGTCTTAGGGGTGGGCGCTTTCCGGAACGGTACGGTAAATTGGTAAAACCCGTAATGTATTCGTGAGATTTTTAACGGTCCGTTACGGTCCGGTTCCAAGAATAGAACCGTTCGATACCATGTCGTTTCGGAACGGTACGAAACGGTACGGTACAATGCGAAACACATGCTAAAAATTTAAGCAAATCTTGCAATTAGTGGATATCATCACACTAATCAACTCACATGAAATGTTGATATAAATACAAGAAATTGCATACGTAGTACTAAAACTCACAAATACACAAATAGTGCAACACAACTAAGAAAAAGTATAGCAAAACGATGACGCACAAAATAAATATCATCTTTAATTTACAAAGTTTATGTGAAAATATAAAAGCGAATATCATCAAATTGTTGAATATAATAGAAATCTTCAACGTTCTTCTTCTTTCTTTCTAGGTTAAATATTACTCCGTAGTTCTAATTTAATTTATAGTTGAACCTTGAGAGCTAAGATTTAAACCATATTAATTAAGTTGTAAAAATTTCACAAACATGATACAACAAAAGTCATGTACACTACATTACTAGAAATGAATATTCATTAATGATTTTTAAAATTTTAATATTCTTTCAATACATGCCAAAATGTAACATAAATTATCTAAAAAGAAAAAATAACAATATATGTGTATATATATATATATATATCTTAGGGACACACGAATACATACTTGGGTTATAAAATTGTTGGTCTATAAAAGAAATCTATTGGTATAGAAAAAATATAAAAAATTCAAATGCATTATTTTCGAACGGTTCGGTCCGGTTTTTTTCGATTCTCAAAATCTAAGACCGGTCTCGTACCCGTTTCAAACGGTACAGTTTCGGTACGGGATAAAAATCTATAGAACCATTTAAATACACGGTATTCGGTTCGGTACCATTACGGGACGGTTCAGCACCGGTTCGGTTCGGGTTTTATGCCCACCCCTAAGGAGTCTTGTATCCGAAGCTAAATGAGCATATTACTCGTATTAGGGAGTGTTTGGATCTACGTATTAAGGGGGTGTTTGAATCTAATTCTTAAAATTGCTTCTGCTCTTTCAGGGAGCAGAAGCAGAAGTTGGAGTGTTTGGTTGAAAATGCAGAAGTGATTCTGGTGCTCTAATTTACTTTTAGAATCAGTTTTTTTAGAAGTTGGGGGTACCAGCTTCTGAAAACTGATTCTGATTCTGCTTTAAAAAAAGAAGCAGAAGCAGAATCAGTTCCAAACACCCCCTAAAAGTGTTTCTTCTCCTTAGAGATTAGAAGGAGCTATTAGAGTTTTTGAGTGGAACTTCAAAAGTACTTTTGAATGCTCTTGGTCCAAAAGGTGGAATCTCCCACCCCAGGAGCCTCCACCCCGACCCGACAGGATGTTGGGGAGTTTAATCACGGTGATTCAGTCAGCAAAGCGGCGGTAGACCTTATACACGTGCGCACCAGAGGTCCAACCTTATTTCAGGTTCTGTAACCTCCACACGGCCGCTGCGGGTTTCAAACCTTGGTCACTTGGTTCAATTTTCCCACCACTCGACCAACTGAGCTACCCGTGCGGGTAAGTACTTTTGAATGCTCCAAATTGTTAGTAGAAGCAGTTCAGAAAAACTCTTTTTGTTTTTAGGAGAAACAAAGTCAATTCCAAACATTACAAAGAAATGGAGCTTTTGGTAATATCAAGAAGGCCCCCCTATGGCCCTATCGATAATGCACTTCTCTTAAGATCTGAATAGTACGCACTAGTTCCTCATGAACGTGGCGTGCCCTGAACTATACAAGGACGTGTTAGTACATAATTGTCCACAAACTACTTTGACTTTCATAATTGTTCATACATGACTTTGACCGTTAATACATTTCAATGGCTATTAGTAAAAAATACGGAGTATAGGAAATATATATTTTAAAAATTAATATGTCGCAAGTAATTAAGAATGATGATAGTGTTTTTTCGTGGAAGATATAAAATACTCCTATGTGGATAATGTAACCGTGTTTATTCTAGTCTAGTAGAATAAGTATGTTGATGAGGTGGATGAATAGGATGCAGCTACCTTTTAAATGGATCCCAATTTACAAGGTAGCTTCATCATTTTCATTTTCAGCAACCTCATGAGAGCTTTCTCTGATTTTTTATTTTATTTTGGACAATCATGCACATTTTCTTTTCTTTAAGATTTGCTTATTTACAATGTGTGAAAAACAATTATTCGTGAGTGTTATAGATGAAATGTCCGGGGTAGACACTGGCCTATCGCCGTCCATGCCTTACTTCAAGCCAACGGGAAGTGATAGGCCACCAAGAATCACATATATGGGCATTCATGAGTGTGACAAATTCTCAGTATGTATTCTTATTATGCACAACGAACTTTTTTCAAGGAGGCAGATAGGGCCTGCGTGAGGCTTTGACTGTTTTGCAGGCCCGCGCGGTCACTACTCGCCCGCCCGCCCGCATATCCTTCACTCAACTCAAGTGCTTATGGTGATGTTTTTTGCAGATAGGAATCTTTTGCTTGCCGCCATCGGGCGTTATACCTCTCCACAACCATCCCGGAATGACAGTCTTCAGCAAGATTCTTTTTGGGGAAATGCATATACAGTCTTATGACTGGGCGGATGGTAGCCTTGCTGATAGTACTCTGCAGAGTAAGTTGTTAATTTAAGTATTTTCCTTTCTCCGTTTAAGACTTGTGTATGGATAATTAAAAACAGGAGTAGTATTTTTAGTATGCTTGTTAAGGACTAAAAACTAATAAAAGTTCCAAAATAATCTTATTACCGATGTAGCTGAAGAAAGAGAATGCCAAAACTTTTATCATGGAGGTATATAATAATGTCATCTTTAGTCATTACAACATTATAAGCTATACTCTTATTTATTATCCAAGACATATATTATCACAACCAATCTAAAATTGCATCTTCTAACATTAGTGCATATTGGTCATAAAGAATGTTATCTTAATCGGCAAAAAATGTCACCTTCACTGACACAAAAACTACATGAGATTAAAAAAAAACAAAAGGGAAAAGGAGAATCTGGAGGAAGTCATATCCTATTAATCAAGCCATATCTTCTTCAGACTGGTGGGGAAGACAATGTTGTGGATCTTGGTCTTCTTCTCCGATCATGTTCTTCACCAACAATATGCTCACTACCCGTCGTCCCCCACCAACAACCATATTTTGTAGGGGCAGCCACATTTCGTCGCTGCTTACCCAGAGACAGATTTCGAATGATGGAGAGGAAGTCTTCATCAAAGAAGATGATTGGATAATGCCACAAACCTTCCGCTTTTAGTCACCGTGTCTATTTTAATGGCAATCGAATAGTGAGGGAAGCGAGTGATGCCATCCATGAACGAGAAAGACAGAGAGGAGGAGAGGGAGGTATGGAAGGGAGCACGAATAGACCATAAGGCCCTGTTTGGTCGGAGGGTTTTGGAGGGGAGGGGAGGAAAGTGGGGGATTCTTGTGTGTTTGTTTGAAGGAAATACGGGGAAGGGGAGGAAAGTGGAAGACTTTCAAAATCCCCCACTTACTCCCATTCTAAACCCCCAAATCGGAGTATTTCGGAGGAAACGTGTTGATAACAACAAACTATTCATCTCCTACGTGAATGAACAAAATGTTATATAAAAAGGTAAAAAAACAAAAAGTTTGAAAAATTAAAAAAAATAAAAATTTAAAAATTTAAATATTAAAAAATTAAAAAATTAAAAATTTTCAAAATTAAAAAATTTAAAAATTATAAATTAAAAATTTTAAAAATTAAAAATATAAAAAAAATAAAAAATAAAAATAAAAAATCAAAAATTCCAAATTGAAAAATGAAAAATTATAAAATTAAAAAAGTAAAAAATCAAATAAATTAAAGTTATGACTCATGACCATAGGAGTAATATTCACAATAGTTAGACATGTATCTATTTTTTGAAGTAAGCTATCAAATAAAAGTAAATTGTGAAAATATTTTCATTAAACCTTTCCTCATATTTCCTCCAACCAAACACAAATTTTTATCAAAATCCTTCTCATTCCATTCCCTCCCCTCCTTTGAACCAAACAAGGCCTAAAGGAAATGGAGCAAAGGGTAAAAATGTTATCGTGAGTTCTGTTTGGGAATTTGATTTTTAATAATTATTTACTCCCGTTTGGATTAATTTATCTTTTCTATATTGGAAGCGCTATTATTTGAAGTGAGATGTGACGCTGGGGAACCCAAAGTGTTAGCTAGATAATGTAATACACATTTGATAGAGCGAGTATACTTTTAATTGGAGTAAGTTGCCGGAAGGGGTAGGCCAGATGAAGATAGAGAGAGGATAGTAACCCATACAAGCGGAAGTTTTATAGGTTTAAAGGAGGGGAGGAAGGGGAGAGTCAAGGAGGAAGGGAAGGGGAAGGAAGGATTTTGATAAAAATTTGTGTTTGGTTGGAGGAAATAGGAGGAAACGTTTAATGAAAATATTTTCGCAATTTACTTTTATTTGATAGCTTACTTAAAAAAATAGATACATGTCTAAGTATTGTGAATATTACTCCTATGGTCCTGACTCATAATTTTATTTTATTTGATTTTTTAGTTTTTTAATTTTATAATTTTTCATTTTTCAGTTTGGAATTTTTAATTTTTATTTTTAAAATTTTTATTTTTTAATTTTTTTAATCTTTAAATTTTTTAATTTTTTAATTTTTCAAAACGTTTTGTTTTTTTCCTTTTTATATTATAACGTTTTGTTCATTCACGTAGGAGATGTATAGTTTGTGGTTATTAACATGTTTTCTCCAAAATATCCCGATTTGGGGATTTAGAATGGGAGGAAGTGGACGATTTTGAAAATCTTCCACTTTCCTCCCCTTCTCCCTATTTCCTTCAACAAAACACACACAAATCCCTCAGTTTCCTTTCCTCCCCTTCGAAACCCTCCAACCAAACAAGGCCTTAAGGATGGGTGTGATTCTCTTTTTTTAAATGGAGTAAGTTTTAGTCTGGGTTATCGGGTAGGTGGTTGTTTATTGGAAAAATTGACAAAAATAATTCCACCTTTCGCTGATCTTCTCATAATAATCTCAACTTTAGGTAATTCCAGAATAATCCTACCTTTGCACCCCATCTTCTTTCATTGGACCCTGACCATGTTTTTTACTCTCTTTTTTGAAAATCATATAAATAATCTTACCTTTCACTTTTCTATGATATCTTTATAAATGTGAGATTATTTATATAAGATTTTCAAAGAAAGGTAAAAAACTTGGTCGGGTCCAACGAAAGAAGATAGGGTGCAAAGGTGAGATTATTTTGGGATTATGTAAAGGTAGAATTATTATGAGAAGATCAGTGAAAGGTGAGGTTATTCTTGTCAATTTTTCCTTGTTTATTTGGCACTAGTGGTTCAATTTGCCTATTGAGGTTAGATTGGACCTTTTATATCTATCTTGAGTTGTTTAGTGGATACCTCGAAATATACGAGGCTTTTAGGATCTTCTTTGGATGAGTAGGTTCAATTTTAAAAATATACTTCTTTCACCCTCAAAAGTTTTCCTTATGATCAATAATGAGTTCTTGTTTCCATAAGGAGTATAAAGGTTTAAAAAACAAAGGTTTTTATTAGTGAATGTTATAACAAAAGTTTTGTGTGACATAAAATAAGGATATATTTAGAAGTGAAAAGGGTAAAAAAGGGGATGCCTTTTCCGTACGTGTGCACAGGCAATGGTTGCGGGGTTCGTTTGGCGAAGAGGAAGGTAAATTCGGAATTGAGGGGTCCTTGCAAGAGCAGCATTCTGTACCCGGATGATTGTAATATGCACTGCTTCAGGGCACTGACTGCTTGTGCCGTTCTTGATGTGCTTGTCCCGCCCTACAATGATCTTCAAGGCCGTCATTGTCAATACTATTTGGACTACCCTTTTCCCAATTTCTCAGGTATATTATACATCTACCCTACTACTACTACTACGCTACTACCCTTCCCCTTTCATTAAAAATTTGCCTTTCTCGTGTTGCCCAATGTGAAGAATACTACCCTTCAAAAAAACGTCAGGTTCCACTTCATCACAAAGTGGCGGGACCGCTTACTTTTACGAAGTACTTTGAGTTGGTGCATGTTTCCTAGAAAGTAATTAGGCTTTGGACCTGGTCCACAGTCCACGACTGGTTGACTGGTTGGGACCCGTCCTCAGTGGCACGAGTCCCGTTTAGTGACTTTAGTGACCACAACCGGCTGGTCTTGTCCTAGTTCGGCCTTTTCAATTTTTTTTTTTGCATTACAAACATAAAAACATAAGGACGGGTCGGGGATGGGAAGGGAGGGTGATGGGAGTGTTAAAAACATAAAAAACTAATGAATTGAGACCAGACAAGGACGGGTCGGGGATCAGAATCCCGATGTTGGTCTCAGTTCTAGGGTAGCCAATCTTCGGGACTTGATCGGCCCGAAACTAGGACCGGTCCATGCCTAAGCGTAAAGTTTTTATTATGTACTACATGTATTACTTTTGTCTAATAAATTAGAATTGGGTGTAAAATAAAAATAATACTAGTATATAGATTATATAGTTAAGGTTTGTGCACAAGAAAGACAAATAAATAGAATCACAAATTAATAACCATAAGTCTTAGAGTTTCATTATAAAACACCAACCTAATAGCAAGAATAGCTCAAATCTTTACATGTTGGTTTGTGTTTTTAACCAAACTCTCACGCTATAACTTAAGAATTCGATTCTTCACTCTAACAATATGTATGTAGTTAAATAAAGGTAAAACTTACTTGAGCAAATAGAAACTTTATCGTCAAAATGAATTAGTAACATTTTGACCTATTTGTGATAACTAAATAGTTTTGCTTTGATTTGATGTCACATAAGCGTTGGAAATTGAAATTGAAATTGCCCCATATAGGAGTAAACATAAACATAATTTTACAAATAGGAGTAAAATATAAAACTTCTTTCAATAGGAGTAAACATTAATTTTCTATCCTTGATGCCCCTAATCTATTTAATTCTAAATAGGACTTATTTGATCATATTAAAATATAAAATTTCTAAATTAATTTTAAAAAATTATAAAAATAATAAAAATCAAGAATTATTTTTTAAAAAAAATAAAAATAGATAACACATTAAAAAATATTAAAAAAATTATGGAGGCCTTTCCCGCATCCTCGACCACCGCCCAACAATCTCACCTCAGATCAACGAAAAAAATGCTATTTTTTATGTAAAAACTGCCATTTTTCTTTGAAAATGTCATAAAGATGACATTTTTACTCTTTGAAAATGCCAAATTTTCTCAAAAACTGTCACAAAGATTGCATTTCTGAAAAATGTTGGCATTTTTTCGAGGTGTCGAAGCTAGTGGTGTTGGGAGGTTGTTGAGTAGCAGTAGAGGCCTGCATATTTTTTAATATTTTTTACATTTTTACTTTTTTATTTTTAAATTTTTAGTTTTTGTTTAATAATTTTTTGTTTTGTTTTTTATTTATTTTATTTAATACGGAGCATATTTATATAATATATATATTTGCGTTTTTTATTTTTTTACAATTTTTATTATATAAATTATTTATTTATGTTTTACTTCTATTTGGAGAACTCACCCTTTTAAGTTTGGTCTCTAAATTACAAATACTTGATATGCAGTGGAAGGTGAAGGTGCATCGGTTCCAAAAGTGGGTGAGGAGGAAAGCTTCGTGTGGCTGAAAGAGCGGGCAATGCCAGAAGATTTGACGATTGTTGGAACTCTGTACAAAGGACCAAAATTAGCGAAATGAGTTTATCATTCCACGAACTCTCACTTGTAACCAGCTGCTCATTGTAAATTGCATATACACTAGGTTTTCTCTCCTTTTTTTTGCCTGGTTATGCCTTAGATATAGATGGGGAGAGGAACAAACGTTTTCCCCTTCTTCCTGCTTTTATTAGTCTTGTGATCTGAATCAGCTTTGTATATTTGAGAAAGGATGAAGAACATATTGCCCCTCCTTTAAAATTCAAATGTCTCGTGGGAAAAAGATCTTGTTCTTTTATCGAATTAATGGTCCTAATGTGGAGTTTTTTCCCAAACTAAGGTACCTGTATTTTTTCTCCATGTCACCCAACCTGCTACGTCACATATGCCACATCATTCGCTAGTTATTTCATATCATCGAATTTGGGTAGTATAAAAAATACATTACTAGAGAGAGTTGAACTCACAACCTCTCACAATTGTGTATTAGGAGTAAAAATGTTGGACTACAATGTTGAGTTGTTACTTTTGTCCATTTAATTGTATTTAACATACATATACTTGAAGTTCTTGAATTTACTAGTTTACTCGTGTTTTACACATTCCTTTGGAAAATATATTATTTATTTCTAGAATAATCAAAGAATATAATAAAATTTTAATTTTATATTTTCAATTGAAAAATAAAACTCAATTAAAAATTATGATAAAAAGATTAATTTGAGATATGTAATTAAAAAATAATTTATAATAACTATAATAACATGGCACTAAAAGTATTAAAAATATTATATTTTTAACTTAAATTTGTTTAAAAGTTTATCTAGGAAAAAGTCTTTATATCATCTCAACTGAACTCGGGCTCAACTCGAGTAAGGCTTGAGTTCGTTTCAAATTCCACAAATTAATTTTTATGTGTTCGAGTTCAAATAAGATGCCCGAATTTGAGTTAAAAAATTATTTTTAAATTTTGATAAAATATATTTATACATGAAAATGAATAAAAAAATAAATAAATACTTAAATAAATAAATTATTAATAAATAAATTAAATAAATTAATTTTATACGGAGTAGTTATTTATTTATTTATATATATTAAATAAATAAATTATTTTCCTAGATAAACTTTAAAACGTTTTTTTAGTTAAGAATATACTATCGTAATATTTTTTAATAATTTTAGTGTTGAGTTATTATAAATTATTTTTAATTTTTAATTACATATCACGAATTAAGTTTTTAATCATAATTTTTAATTGGGTTTTTATTTTTTAATTGAACATATAAAATTATAATTTTATTATATTCTTTAATTATTTGAGAAATAAATAATATATTTTGGAATAAGTAATACACGATTAAATTAGTAAATTCCAGAACTTCAATTATATGTATGAGTTCATGAGTTGAGAGGTCATGAGTTCAACATTGTAGCAATGTAGTCTTAATACAAAGTTGAGAGGTCATGAGTTCAACTCCCTCTACCAACATATTTTTTATACTACCCAAATTCGATGATATGGAATGAGTAGCGAATGATGTGACATAGGTGACGTGGCAAGTTGGGTGACATGGAGAAAAATTACCCTAGTTTGGAAAATAAGTTTAAAACTACCCTAGTTTGGAAAATAAGTTTTAAAAGTACCTTAGTTTGGGAAAAAATTATATTCCCCTAATGTGCTCTTCTACCTTGTTCGGGGGTTCTTCCTATATGGTACCTTTTTGTGTTAACATCATAAAGTTGCATAATAATCAATCTCTCAACTATCATCATCCCTAAATTGTCCGAATTTTGTCAAGTGTGAAGTCGTTAAAATTGAACTAACAACGCGCATGTTCAAAAAGTTATAACTTCAAGCATGATCAAAAAGTTATACATTCTACCTTTTTAAAATTTCCCCGCACTAGTAACTTTGTCTATAAAGTTAGGCCATAGATAAAAATATTAATCAAAATGATCCAATTTTAAAGTCAATAAATATCTTGCATATACAAATATTGTTTGCCGTGGGGCAAAAAACTGTATCATATTTGTACACATTTTCAAAAAGAAATCATACTGCCATTTTTTTATTGTAAAATTAGGTCAAAAGTAAAAACATGTTGGCTGATAAAATTTAATTTTATAGAAAATAAACAACTAAAAAATGTTTTCAACAAGAACCATTAGAAGATGAGGGGAGAGATGATAAGAGATCACTCCTCCACACGAATACCCGCCCTCGATTTTGCTCTCTTCAAAACCATACTCTCATCTAGTCCAAAAAGAAGCATATCATTTTGACTCCTCTAATCGACATATGTTTAGGTCTCCCTCCCCCTCTTTTCCCTGCATCATCTCTACACGTCTCAACTCGTCTGACAAATGCATCACTCGATCTTCTATGTACATTATCAAACCACCACAAGCGAGATTCTGCATTTTATCTTCAATAGGTGCCACGCCCACCTTTTGTCTGATGGTCTCATTTCTCACGCGGTCCTTTCTAGTATGTCCATACATCCGACACAGCATGTACATCCCTGTCACACTCATCTCTTGAATGTGACATTGTTGCATTGTCCAACACTCTACGCCATACAGTAATGCAAGCCTACTTACTGTCCTATAATATTTACCCTTCAGTCTAGTCGACATACCTCGATCTCATAGAAATCCCGACGCACTCTTTCACTTCATCACCTTCTGATTCTATGATATACATCTTCATCTAATTCACCGTTCTTCTGAATTACGAAGCCCAAGTAAGGGATCATATCGTTGATCGATATCTCCTTACCATATAGAGTAATTCCACTATTACCATTGCTTCTACCTCCACCAAATTTGCACTCTGTGTACTCAGTGTTTCTCCGAATCAGTATGAAACTCTTGTTCTCCAATGTTTGTCACCATACTTCCAACTTTACTTTCACACGTGATTGCATCTCATCAATCAATACAATATCATCGTCAAACATCATGCACCATGATATATCGTCTTGAATTGACTTTGTAAGTTCATCCATGACTATGACAAATAAAAAAGAGCTCAAATCCAATCCTTGGTGCACTCTGATAGTAACAGGGAACTCTGCACTTCCCTACACTAGTTCAGATATATGTAGTACAACCCTCATACATATCCATGATGATGCTAATATACTTGCATGATATGCCTTTTCTAGTTAAGGTCCACCAAAGAAATTCTCGAGGCACCCTATCATATGCCTTTTCTAAGTCAATGAACACCAAATGCAAATCCTTGTTAGTGTCTTTACACTTCTCCCCAAGGTGCCGAAGAAGGTGAATGACCTCAGTTGTTGAGTGACTAGACATAAAACCAAATTGATTCTCCGAAATCTTCATACTTCTTTGGAGTTTTTGCTCAATCACCCGCTCCCAAAGTTTCATGGTGCAACTAATGAGCTTAATCTCTCGATAGTTGGCACATTCTTGTACATCAGCCTTATTTTTAAATAAGGGAGTAAATGTACTCTTCTGTACCATTTACTTAATGCATTGTAAATGAAGTCAAAACAATAGCTTTAAAACTCAAAATCATCTTTCCACTGAGATGTAATACGATTGAAACGAAAGAACATAAATCAAGATATGAGTCTCACAAATACATAATTTGTTCTCTGTGATTTAGCATTTTCAACGTAAATAAAATATTTTAGCGTAAATAAAGTCTTGGATTTGAAATTCGGTTTATTAGGTAATCATTCCGTAATAGTTAGAAACTGACGTCTTAAGACGAGTTTTAAAACTCGATAGAATGTTTCTCCAAATCTTATCGAAGAAACTTGTTAACCACTCGACGGCTCCCCCCCCAAACTTTTCCAGGCCTTGATTGGTATACCATTTGGATCCACTGCTTTTCTCCGCCTCATATTTCTCAGAGTCTTTAATTTCTGTTGTTTGGATCCTTCTCACAAAATCTATATACATGAACATTACATGAAATTTTGTGGAATAAAAAACTAACCCGCACAGATAGCTCAGTTGGTTGAGTGGTGGAAAAGTTGAAACATTGATCAAAGATCAAAACGTGCAACGATCGTGTGGAGCCGTGGAGGTGATAGCTATTGCATGTCTTTGTCGAGTCAAAGTGGGTGAGACCTTAGAGGTCGGAGATTCAATCTTTTGTAACATGGTCGATAAGTTACTAAAGCCATATAAAAATAAATAAATCAACCATTCTTGATGTACACACCCTTGTACACACTTTATACACACCATGTTTGTGAAGCTTTTTTTTGTCTGTGAATCCGGTTTACAGACAATATTTTGTTTGTGCAAAACATTGTTTGTGAATCGATGTTCACAGACAAAAACAAAAACTTTTACAGACATAGGTGTGTACAAAAGTGTGTATAAAAGTGTGCACAAACGTCATTTTTGTAAATAAATATGATGATATAGATCGTTTTCATGGAAAATGGAACCAAATGCTCTAAACTATTATTGGATCCAACTTGGACACGTTGCTGGGACAGAAGCGCATCCTGTTCTTATTTTAGTAGGATTTTATATGAACTGATTGGTAGTCGCCTTCTGTATTGCGCAAAACTCGGAATCTCAGCTCTTGAGAAACTTCAGTCGCTCAATCATCCAAAGTTCCAAACTTTAGCTCTTATCTGCTGGTTTCTCTGGAAATCTTGCTGTAATCGGCCTTAGGTAAACTCTAATTGCTATTTTCTGATTTCTTGAATCCCTTATGACCTGTACTTTCCGGCGCTTGATTTCATACTTTATGTGTGCATAGTGTACGTGTGGTCGAAACTGATGAATTTCTATCTAGATTTTTTCAAAACTTTTTTGTAATGGCGAATCTTTGACCTACTTTTTACGGATCTAAGGTATTGTCCCGTACAGTGACTAAAACTGTGTGCTTTATTCTGTGGATGAAATGGAAAGATTGTCAATTGCTCATCACTCTTCATATCTTAGTCGTAGCAGTAGATAATTATAGGGCGGGCACGATTTTTAGTCATTTTTAGATTTATCAAGTTGCAGCTGGGACAAGGAGGATGTCAACACCAGCTAAGAAAAGGTTGATGAGGGACTTCAAGCGGTTGCAACTGGATCCTCCAGCTGGCATCAGCGGTGCTCCATATGACAACAACATAATGCTTTGGAATGCTGTTATTTTTGGGTATGACATCTGTCTTGATTGAAAATTCGGGATATATATAGAGAGAAATGATCTCATCAGTCCGGTCTCAAAGGAATCCTGTCAGTCCAACTTGATTTTGAGTTAAAAATTGAGTGTAATTGTCCAAGTTTTTTTAGTTATTAGCATTAAATGTTAGTCTCTACCATTGGATCATTTGTAAAGTTAAATTCTAATAAGTTTAATTCTACTTTTTGTAATGAAAATGTCTTAACTGTTAGATAAGTTTTAGAAGTAAAAAAGTGTGTTTATAGGGTTCAACGTAGAACAAATTTAAGATCTAATGGTCGAAACTAACATTTAATCCTAATAACTAAAAAACTTTATTTGTGGTGTAAAATGAAAACCGGGCTGACGGAAAGTCCTGTCACCGATAAGAATAAGACTCTATATATGTACACATATAGGGGAGATTCTAATGAGAACCCTTTTCAAAATGAGAACTCATTTATAAATGAGAACTTTTAATCTTCACATTTCATAGTTCAAATCAAGGGATAGAATCAACAAGGTGACATTTTTGTAATAATTTTACAATAATTACAAAAATACCCATTTGAATTTTGAATAATTACAGAAAGAACTCCATGTGCATTTTATCAATAATTGAATAAAATAAAAAATTGTGATTAAAATTTTTCATTATAAAAAGTTTTCACTATAGAACCATCCTTTATTTATATGTATATATGGTCTGGTGTGGTGAGAATACTTCTTCCCATGAGAAATGAGAACGAATTATGCACACTATGTTTCAGAGCATCTTCAATGCTACAATGTGCACGGTGCATATGTGACATGAGACATATAGACACAAAAAAATAAATTCATGAAATTCCTCTCTCTTTCTTTTAATGATCTTATGTGTTTTTGGTAAGTTATTCTCAATAATGTCAATTACAATGTCTGCATCTAGACATTGTACTTGACATTGTGAAGAAAATTTATCAAAAATATATTAGACCGTTCATATAAGGAGGGAGATATTCTACTTATTATTTTTTATGCGTTTGTCTCTCTCATTCCAAATATGCACTGTTCATGTTTTTGCATTGTATACGCTCTCATGGAGGTGCACATTTATGGTTAAAATAATGCATACCTCAAATGTGTAAAAAAGCTGAACGTAATTATAAAACTGCCATCACATTTTCTGATTTATGGTGGGCACATTTATGTCTACATTATGCATAATTCCCCATTCTAACTCTCTAGATTCATTCTCATTTCTCTCTTTAGGTCGCGTTCTTATTGGACCCAAATTCTCTCTTTATATAGATGCATATATATTGACACACACACACATGTTCTATAAAGGCCAAAGGGTTAGTATTTTGTCGTGTTTACTAATTTTTGATTTGTATATTCTCAGCCCGGATGACACTCCTTGGGATGGAGGTGAGGCATCTCCTGCTTACTGTTTTTTTCTTGCCTTAGGTCAAATAGTACGCATTGCTACTTCCTTCTTTTGTATAGTTACCTATATGACCATTTATTACAAGTATCAATAGTTGAAAGCACTTGATTGGCCTAGGGAAATTTGTTAGTCATATGTCCTTATTCATATTGCTTCCATGTGATTGATCCTGTTCCTGTGAAATGTTGGCCGGCATCTTTGATATGTTGTTTTATGTCAGGTACTTTTAAGTTGACGCTTCAGTTCAGCGAGGACTACCCAAATAAGCCACCAACAGTGCGATTTATTTCTCGAATGTTCCATCCTAACAGTAAGTTTCTTCAGCATATCGCATTGGCTGTTTACGATGTGGCTTTGTAGACTGTAGTTGAAATATGCGTTACAAATTTTTTATTTGGAATATCATGATTGATGTAACATTCCATCATTTGCAATGGAGCCAAAAACTCATATTTTTTTGGCTTGGGAATATGATGGAATAAAGCAAATGGGCTCACTAAACTGTCTGCGCTTCTTTGTTATGAAGCAACAGTCCGTCCATGCAATTTTTGACGTGATTTTCACTATGGGTCATCTGGAAACAGTCTCTCTGTGCTTTAGTATAGGGGTAAGATTGCGTACATCCGACCCCCCTTACCCCACTGTAGGTGGGAGCCTTTGCGGCACTGGGGTAATGATAATGATGATGATCATGATTGATGTAACATTTTCAAGATAAGTGACATTGATATATACGAGTAACTTAATATACTTCTGGTAGAATAAGTCAATTAGAGATACATATGGTGGCTCATATACTTGGTTCTCATGCATTGCATGGAGATGCCTTATTTCGTTGTGTTTTAAAACAATTGCGACCACCAGCCATTTCCACTAGCTACACACTTAAAAACAAAATTTTGAATCATCCTCTCCCCTAATTCTCTTCTACCAATCTCTTATTTTGGACCGATTCTTTTGGCGGGGGTAGTATACACACGCACACACACATATTCACATACACATACATATATCCTCATGCACATATACATGTATACACATGCATATATTACACATGCATATATGCATATGCATATGCAGAGTCCTGTTTCTGTCCGGCCGGCTTGACGGGAACCGCCATCCGGCCGAGGGCATTTCAGGACCATCTTGGTGGATTTTTTTGATGAATTTTTTTGATCATGTTCTTCATCAAGTCTAGTTTATCCATACCAAATTTCAGTTAAAATTCAATCGGGAATGCAATCAAATGATTGTTTGAGGATAACTGCGCTTTACATATATATATATATATATATATATATATATATAGTACTCTTCCGGTAAGGAATTCCTGACCGGAACCGCCGCCCGGACGACGGCGTTTGAGGCCTTTCCCGGTGGATTTTTTGATGATATTTTTATGCTATGTTCTTCATAAAGTCTAGTTCATCCACACAAAAAATCAGCTAAAAATTCAATCGGGAAGGCCGTCAAATGATTTTTGGAAGATAACTGCGTCAAAATATACATATAAAACGCAGTTAACTTCCAAAAATTATTTGACTGCCTTCCCGATTGAATTTTTAGCTGAATTGTTTAGAGGATAAACTAGGCCTGATGAAGAACATGCCATAAAAATTGCATCCAAAAATATATATATATATAAACAACACAGTCTTTTTAAAGTACACGTTGGATTGCCTTCCTGATTGAATTTTTATATGAAATTTGGTATGGATAAACTAGACTTGATGAAGAACATGCTCAAAAAATTTCATCAAAAAATTACACCAGGAACGTCCCGAAATGCCCTCGGCCGGACGGAGGTTCCCGTCAGGCCGGCTGGACATGAAAATATCCTCTGCATATGCATTCATACATTTACATACATATCTATAAATACATGTATACACATGTGTACATGCATTATGTATATATACATGTACTCCCTCCGTCCCAGAAAATTCTTCCCGTTTTGACTTGGATCGGATTTTAAGAAAGTGGGAATAAAGTGGAAATGTATGGTTGAGTAAGAAAAAGGTAAATGAATGGTAGCCACTAAAACCTCTCCAAAAAGGGAAATGGGAAGAATTTTTGGGGACTTCTCAAAAAGATAAGTGAGAAGAATTTTTAGGGACAGTGGGAGTATGTATATCAGTATATATACATACATGTATGTATAGTTACATGTATATCTACACATACATGCATAAATGATATATTTACACACTTTTTGATGATCTAGTGGTTGAAATTTTTGGTTAATGCTACAACAACATACAACAACATCCAAGCCTTAGTCCAAAAGAATTTGGGGTTGACTAACATGAATCGACACATGAAACTGGAGTTAAAAAGATAAGAAAGATAAAAAGATAGGATAAGATAAAAAAGATAAGATAAAGATAAAAATGATATGATAAAAAGGATAAAAACATAAGATACAACGTATAACAGGATAACGAACAAAAAGAAGATAAAATGATAAAAATATATCAATCCTTCACACCAATATCCCCCCTAAACTAATGGCTAATGCTAATGAGTAAAAAACTTGGATCTCTAAATTCATGTTTCAGCCGAGAATTAAATGAGATCATTTATATATATGTATATGTATGTATGTATGTATATATGTTTGCATTAGTTTCTATAATATTGTGTTACATTGCGCCCATATCTAATATTACCTCTGTCCCACTCAACTTTGCCAAGTTGAAGTTGGGTGAGAACTTAGAATAGTAAAAACTGTGTGGTTGAAGTTTGTGCAGAGGAGAGAGAAATGAACAGAACCACAAATTCATTGCTTTGAAAGAAAAGTGCCAATTTTTTTTGGGACAAACAAAAAAGGAAAGTTGACAAAGTCCAGTAGGACGGAGGTAGTATATTTAGGTCATTTTATTTCTCGTTCCCTTTCTTCATATATTTACCTCGGAACTAGTCTATTTTCATTTACCACGGAGTAATTTATAATTGCTCACATTGCAAATGGGTTGCACATCAGTTAGGTAGGAAGGTTTTTTTTTCCCTTTGTTCCCATATCCGCTCTTGGGTGGAGATGTAAATATGTAATTCAAACCTATGACAGCCCTTTTCTAGTAATTTGCCTGTTAATCTTGAGAGTAGAGTCAGTAGACTATTTGAGATACAATTAATATATTTTAGTCAAACATCATACCTATTATCATGTGTTGGTAATATATTACTCAACAACATTGAGCATTAAGCGATTTGATTTGATTTGTATAATGGGCCGGGGCGGGGGGGTAACCTTCAGTCCTTCACAGTCAACCCTGAAACTAAAACCTGCATTGTGGCATTTAGAACTTCCAATATGTATTTGGCTATAGAGCCGCTTCTGGAACTGGCTCTGAAAAGAAAAATTATAAAAAATGGGAAACATAAATGAATGCAGGCTTGGAGATGAAGTCCCGCTTTTGATTATCATATATGGAGTTATATCTCATTCCAGTTGAAGGGTTAAAAGTGCAAAGCAAATGATACCATTTGGGATCAATGTGATTTCTGCGTAAAAATATCCTAACAAATGCATTATATGGATCAAGTATTTTCTATTTTTCAAAGTTATTTTTTAAATCATACAGAAATTATTGTATCTTATCATGCACCTCAGGTGGACCATTTTTCCATGAGTTGAAGTACGTGTACATTTTAATATCGCATAGTATGGAGGTTCAAGCCCAATGACTGGGCCTGTTATAATTCCAAATGGAGTGAAGTGATATGTATAAACTAAAATTTTAAGCCACTAGTTTGTCATCAATCATATAGGCTCTCCCCAATTGCCCCAAAAAAACTCATGTTTGAGTAAGGTACAACTTTTTTGCAGTAAACCCAATAAAGGCACAAACTTGTGCAAGTTATTACCGGTACTTGTATCGCCATAAATTATTTGTGAGATTCTTTTAAGCATTTGAATTCTGATATTGTTTGAAGTATTTAAATAATACCACCTAGTGTTTGGAATTAATGGAATTTTGCATTAGAAATGGAATTTTTCACATACAACCAGACCCCATTTTTGGGACAAAAATTCTCTTGAATGTGGACTTTCCATATTTAATTATTGCATCTTCTCTTCTAACATTGTTTGCACTACTTTTTTATAGATTCAATTACACATTTGAGTTGATATATTTTGTTTCCTGGAATTTGCATCTAAGTTCTTATTTGTTGTCATGATTCTGTTTTTGCTCAGTTTATGCCGATGGAAGCATATGCTTGGATATCCTGCAAAACCAATGGAGCCCTATATATGATGTTGCAGCGATACTTACTTCAATCCAGGTATGTTGAGTTCGCTTTCAAGCTTAAAAGGATACTTGGGTGTACCTTCTAATACCCTATCCCTAGGCAAGGGCTAGACCAATGCACGAAACTCCTTTGGCTGACTTTATGCCGTGCTGTGTTAATTCTTTTCTTTTCCCTGATTCTTAACTTGAATAATACTCCGCATTTGATTTAAAAAGGGAATACTATCAAATAGGCTCTCGCATTTAGAAGTCAATTAAGCCCTCAAATTTAGACTCAATTAAGCCTATGAACTTTAGAAAAGCACTCAAATGTGTAATTTAGCAGGACAAGACCTTGTTAAACGGTTACAGTACACATGTTGCGACTTGCAATCCACGATTCTTTTTTACTCATTTTTCGATTCTTTTTTCCTTCTCCCCCCCCCCCTTCTACTTTATTCTTCCAGAGTTCCACGCCACTGTTCAATAGCAGACTTCTCTCCCCTTCTTTCTTCTTTCACCTCATCCTCCTCACAGCAAACCAGCCTTTTCGTTTTCTTTTTCTTTCTTTTATCCTTCTTTCTCCCCTTCTACTATCTTCTTCCACATCACCTAGCTCAATGGTAGGGGATCAGAAACCTGGGTGCCAGTCAAGGTGGGATGAAAATCGGAACCAGAAGTGATGGGTAAAGTCAACGGTGACATCGAAGGACTCAATGAGGTTTTGGGTGTGGGGCGACTTGATGCTGAATATGTTGAGGACATTACGATTAATAGAGTATATGGGCTCAGGAGTCAAGCCCACAGCCCACATACTCATAGATATACAAGCAACCCAGCAGCTACTGGACTACCCACCTCGGCTGTGACCCTTGGCCAGACGAGGACAGGGAACACCAAAAGTCGCTAGACACAATGCATTCAGAAAGCAAGCACGGAGGATCAACTTTAACCTGTACAGGCCCCTCGGTTTGGAAATTTCAGCCTGGCCCATCCCAGGTAGAAACCAGTCAAAGCAAAGGAACAACAGAGACGAGGGTTCAAGCACCTCATTCTGGGATGCCTCGTCCACCACCTCAGCAGATTACCTACGAAGACACGCGTCACATTCTGCCGCACAACAGGGCTCTCGTCCATAGATCAGCTGACACATGTACGTGCATTTAATGCACTCAACATTTATTTCTATTATAAATACTCACTCCCTTGGAGTAGATGTAAAGGGTTCTTAAGTCATGATTATCCGATTATTTTCTCTCTAACTCATAGTTCTTGCCTCTTCCTCCTCTCTATAAATACCACTAGCGGTTTACTAGTGAGTTATCAATGATTATTGGTGCCATTTTGTCGTCGAGAAGCGTTGGTGATGGCTGAGGAAATTGAAAGATAGAAGCGGATCCGCCAAGGAATGGACAGCTTATGCATTGTGTGAGGTGGACTTTGAAGATCGTTCTTTGCTTCCATTTTCTGGGTGGGTGGAAGAAAGAAAGCAGGACAGCCTCCATGGACAACAACTCTCTGAACGCTCCCCATCATTACCAACTCTTTGAGTTTCTCCCGTTCAAGAATTGATGCCAATTATATTATATTTAGGGTATTGCATTTTTTTTTGTAATTGAGTAATTGTTAACCGTGTGGGGGTAGTAGTGGAGTCTGCGAGGTGGAAGAAGAAAGTAGAAGTGGAGAGAAGGTCTCATATGATGGGTGGGGTGGAAGAATAAAGAAGGGGAGATACTAGGAAAGAAAAAGAGACAGAAAATGAGTAAAAATAGACACGGGAGTCGCCACATATGAATCGTAAGTAATTATACATCATGGACCTTAACCTGCTAAATTATACATTTGAGTGCTTCTAGGATCGAGGTCTTAATTGACTTTTTAGATAAATTGTGAGGGCCTATTTGACAGTTTTCCATTTAAAAATATTTCCTTTTTCATTTCCAAAAAATCCTTTGTCCCCCAAAAGTGTGCAATATCAAGAAAAGAACACAGCTTTATATATTAAATAATTAAAGTGTTTCACACAAGTTAAATACGTTATATGTAATTAAAGCAACAAATAAATTTTAAAATATACTAGGATTGATGACCCGAAGAGTTGTAATTTACTCAAATTAAATAGTTATGCCCGGATGGGAAAAGACTTCTTTTTGTGGAGAGATGTAATACATTCTTATAATTAAATACTTCCTCCGTTCGGATTTAAATGCAACACTCATGTTGGCACAGAAATTAAGAAACTTTAGTAAAGTGTTGTTTCTTCCCACTTTACCCTCAACTACACGTGGTTATTATTACATCGAGAGAAACAAGGAACTGTCACGCTACTCTAGCTACGGCCTACAGACTTCAGGGGCTCCTTCTCTTTAATCTCTTCTGGCCAAATGAGCTAAAAGTGTACAGTGAGCTAAATTTGTGTTTCCTTCAGTCCGATCCTGAAAGGAAGTTGTCGGAGCAAACAAATTTCGCATCTTCAATTCATTGTTGACTGTTTGTCTCCATATAATGCTTAACAAGGTAATGGAAAACATACTGATAAAATGAAAAAAGATGTCGAGTGGAAATAAATTGAAGAAAGAAATGGTAGTTCTTTACAAGGAAGAACAAGAAAAAGAGGATTTGAGGGGTATGACTCACGCAGAACATCATGATAAGAGAATAGTGGAAGAAGATAGAGATAAGAGGTAAATGGGAAGCGTGGCTATGAGGGAAAAATCAATTGCTAGGACTCATGAGTGGGTGTGATTAATTTGGGTGGACAGGGATTGATTATGCGGTTGTGAGTAGGGATGGGTATGGTTGTCATTGAGCCCATATTTTCTTACCAAAAATAGAATGTTGCAATTATTTTGAAACTTCCGAAAAAGGAAAGTGTTGCATTTATTAAAGAACGGAGGAAGTATATGTTTTTTCTTTTGTTTTTAAAATCAACTTTCCCAAAAAAGTGACGTTTTCCCCAATTACACCTTTCTAATTCATTTTTTGTAATTTGATTGAGATAAAACCAACTTTGTCAAAAGAGATTTTTTTCTGTGGTTGGCGGGGGTATAATACGGGGAATTAGAGGCCTAAGTATCCTATTTAATCTTGAAGTTGGGAATGTTAGCATTTCATTGGTTGAATTGTTATATAATACAGAATCAGTTTAATCTAACAAGTACGAGTTATAAATGTCAAAGCACACACTTAGGTGATGTCTCTTAATTTTTTTCCTTATTACTTTTTCTTATTAATCAGACCTGATCTTATATTTCAAGCTAGTGAATTATACAAGAACAAACTAGATAGATTCAAAGGTTCAGAGTTCAGATCAAATTAGACCGGACCAAAAAGATTTAAACTAGGCCAGACCAGTTATTAGAAGTATATACCATACTTGTTACAGCGTCGCCTAGGCGTCGACTAGGCATCCAGTCGCTAGGGAGAGGTCGCTAAGAGCCATCGCCTTGCCGGAAGAAGAATAGGCGACCATGGCATCCTCCTGTCATCGTCCAGTAGTCGGTTTGGCGACAAGGCGTTCGCCAAATAAGAAGTCGTAGAATAATATTTCGAAGTCCAAACCGAAGGCCCATATTTAGTTTTTGGAAATAAATTTTAGACAACTAATTTAATTAGGAGGTAAGAAATAAAGCTCAAATCTTACTAAAACATGATAGTCCTATTTTGGAATTTCAAAACTTTTTTACTCCTATTTAGGGAATTTACTCTTTTTTTAGTTACTTCTTCTTTGTGTTTCTTCTAGTGTACCTTACTAGTCCAGTGGCGTATCCAGAAGTATTTGAGTGGGGGAAACTTGCATTACAACTTGATCACATATTTCATAAATAGCAGATCACATTATTAATATTGTTTAATTAGATTTAGTTTAAGTTATAAATGTACAAATATGCATAAAAAGAAGATCAATTTAAATTGTGTGTGTGCAAAGATGAAATTGTCGAAAAACTTTGAGAAAATTACCTGAATAAAAATTAAACATAACAAAATTTAGGATATTGTTTATCCTTTTATTCTTTTAATAGGATTACATAAATCCTACATTTATAGAAGAAAACACTCTTAATTCAATTTTTTTATGTTTAACTCCTATTTTGAGCAATTTCAAAAAGAAGAAGATATATATAGGGTTGGGTTGGGTTGGGGTTGAGAGGGGGCAGCTGCCCCCACTGCCCCCATAGTGGATACGCCACTGCGTACTACCTTATCTAATACTGCAAGTGGACAAGTGTATGCTTTTTTAGGAGCGGGGAGTGGCCAAGTGGGACACAGTAAATCTTATACTACGTATTTATATATATATATTAATATATATAGCATATTTTGTTATAAATACGTATGTTCTTCTTTGTTGTGTTTCTTAAACATATTTTTTATTGCAGTTTATTAGTATTAGAATATTAATATAGTTAGATTGAATTGAATAATATAGTAAAATAATAATCACTTATGATATATGATAAGTTACAAGTTAAATATAGTTAAATACGCAGTACAATATTATATATATATAATTATGTATGCAATTATATATAATATATTATAAATTTATATAATGCGCAACTAGTCGCCTAATTGTCGCCTAGGCGGGCGCCTTGTCGCCTAGGTGATATGGCGGTCAGCTGGCGCCGCGACTCGCCTTACCGCCATGACAAGTATGGTATATACCAGTTCAGTTTTTTCAGTCAAACAAGCCTTTACATAAGGTGATTGATGATTTGATTTTTCACTGCAGTCGTTGCTTTGTGATCCAAGCCTTTACATAAGGTGATTGACGATTTGATTTTTCTTTGCAGTCATTGCTTTGTGATCCAAATCCAAACTCACCTGCCAACTCAGAAGCTGCACGGCTGTTTAGTGAGAATAAGCGAGAGTATAACAGGAAGGTGCGTGAGATTGTTGAGCAAAGCTGGACAGCAGACTAAATTAAGTCTGATGTCTCCTCGCTCTGAGTTAGACCAGCTGGTTGCTTCTCTTTGGTCTGTTGAACTCATTGTTGTTTGATTCATTAACTAAACATGCAATCACCATTCCCACTGTTCGTAGGGACTATGTCTGTTATCTCTACTCTGTTGCTTATATATGAGACAGTGACTGTACATAAATCTCCTGAATCCGAGTTGTGGAACTTGATGAACTTTCCCCCAGTTGGTGTCACCCTTACGAGGTGCCTGTTTGGCTTAGCTTTTGGATGTCTAAAAGCACTTTTATTGCATCTATATGTTTAGGCCATGATTTTGCTCTACTGCAGCGACCGCGAACACCGTGCCAGACGTGGCCTGACTGCTGGGAGTGCTGGCCACTTGACTGTTGGTATCCTAGTGCGTGGAGGTCTCCGGTTGAGTGGTGAGTGCTTGGTGGTGACTCTCCAAAGCTTGAGAACAGAGATATAGGATGCCTTGTTCAGTTGTTCGTGGACATCACAAGTCATCAAAACAAAAGCTCCCGAGAAATGAACGCCCATAACCAAAGATTCTTACTTGTGTCACACTGTCACAGTCCAAGGATGGTGTATTGAAAGTGATCAGTGTGAGATACGAGTCATATAACAGCATCAATGGTAGTAATGGTATCAGCAATGCTTTTAATGTCACTCAAATAAGGATCCATAATTGAGATATGAATCCATAATTGACAACCGCCATAATTCCACTGGATGAGCTGGATTGGTAGACAACAATTTTGCAAACACAAATTATATCAGAAATCCTTAGATTAGTATCTCAATAAGAACATGGGAGTTGTGTGTTGACAAGCTCATGAATCATGATGCACTCACTTGATCATATGAATAGAGTCCTGGTGGGAGAGAGGGTTGCGAAGATTGAATATCTGTGCCATTGTGGAATGTGGATACGGCAGTTGTAGAAAGGGTAATACCGGCAGAACACATGATGAGTAGTTAGGGTGTGGAAAAACCTTGCCCTCTCTGGCCCTAGATAACACACGAATACACGAGCAATGATAGATAAAGAGAATTTGAAGAATTATAAAAATTTCCATATTCTTTCTATATTTAACTTTTTCTACCATAAATACTAAAATAAACAAAAACCCGCAATCATTATTCTATATATACATAATTGAGACCAAAGCAAAAGCAAGTGATAAAAAATTTTTTGTGCTTGCCTCATCGCTTCCTTCTTTGTTCTTGTAGAGATTAGCGGGGGTGTAGGGCAAGTCAGATGAATTTGGAGATCTTGCGAAGCTTGATGAAATCAGGGAGGATAGATGTGGAGAAGGAAGATCGAGTTTTGGATGGGTGTATCGGGCAAGATGCAGGGAACTCGACTGAAAACGTTATTGCAGGGAGGAAGAGGAGAGATCTGGTTGTGGTGCAGGAATGAGGCAGGCAAGGATGACTCTGCTCGCCAAAATTGATGGGGAATGAGGAAATTGGCTGTCAGGGCAGAATGTCATTCGGAAGCGGCGGCTCCGACGATTAGTTCATGTATTGTAATATTCTACCGAAAATTTTAAAATGCACATAACATGCTCGTTACCAAGCACGTAATCAACTTGACATAAGAAGCGTTTAAAATTAAGTGAGTTTTAACTTTAGAGACCCAACTTTTTTACGTTATATACGATGCGGCAATAAGAAATTTTATGGAGCATGTTACGTGCTCCTTAGAGAGCACGTGAGCCCACTTCGGAGAAGCACATGTAACAATAAATCTAAAAGCCTATACACGGTTGCTGCGTCCTGCAAGACTCAACGTTATTACTTTGTATATTTTATTATTATTATTATTATTATTATTATTAGTATTATTATTATTATTATTATTATTATTAGGTTATATAATAATATGAGCACACACATTCCCATAAAATTGTTGTTCTCTCTTATCAGTTCTTGTGTGGAGTATTCAATTCCGTAGACTTATTTAGCTTTATATGAATTAAAAGTACTACATAACTTCTTTACAAAAATAAGATCAACTAGTTTAAAATACTTTAAACATGATATTTTTTTGTAATTGGATCAAAATACCAGCCGTTGGAAATTTTCCAGAAATTATTTGACGATCTATCAGAAATTTCTTCTTCCCCGCTAGCGGAGTTTGCTCCAGTTACAGACTGATTTGATTACACAAGAAAAATATGGGACATTTAATTAGGTCAATTAATTATTTAATTGGGGGTAGGAATGGATTAATTATTTAATAAGCGGTAAAACCAAACATATGATCCTAGTTTTGGAAAAGACTATGTTTTATTCTTAATTTGGGCAAATTTCTCATTTAATTATGCACGGTCTATTTCTTTCAATTAGGGGTGAGCATATTGTTTTGGTTTAACCGAATTGAGCCGTACCAAATTGAACTAAAACCAAATCGAAATTGGACCATATGTGATTTGGTTTGAGTTTGGTTGTATTTCTTCCAAACCGTGTTAAACCAAACTGAAATTGATGAAAACCGAACAAAATCAAACCGAACTAAAGAAATTCAATAAAACCTTTATATATTTCTTCCCGGTTTTCGCCTCCCCCCAGGTCGGAGATCCATCAGTATGGTTTTTGTTTGGTCATAATCTTCAACCAGGTTCAAACCGAACCGAATTGAAATCGATAAAAATCGGACCGAAAATCGATATGCACACCCCTACTTTAAACAATGGGAGAAGTCGTCAAATGCGACTAGTTTATAACAACTTAAATACGATTTTTTATTTGTGATTAGACCAAAATATTCTCATATGGCTTTCGCACTGCTACCCCCATGCCGCCTGTTGTCGGAAAAAATTCCTACGGTTCCCCCGAGCTGCCAGAAATTCGTTGCTGCAGTCAGCTACATCATCACGAACTGATCCCGCCACCAACGGATTACCTTGATTATGCAAGGGAATTGGGGAGTAATTAATTAAGTTAATTAATTAAATAGATGTAGAAATAAAATAGTAATTATTTTTATTTATTTATGTAAATGTGATCATTTTACCTTATACTATAAAAACACCTACTAGCTATTTAAGCTTGAAATTTAGGAATAATTCCAGAAATAATTGCTATTTTAAAATAGCTATTTTTAAAAATAATTTGGAAATCTTCCTCATATTTCTTTGTAAAACATTTGCAAACATTTCTATTCAATTATTAAAATAATAAGGCATTGCCGCATCGTATATAACGTAAAAAAGTTGGGTCTCAAAAGTTAAAACCCACTTAATTTTAAACACTTCTTATGCCAAGTTGATTATGTGCTCGGTAACGAGCATGTTACGTGCATTTTAAAATTTTCGAATATTCTACTTCAAAGTATTCTCAATTGTAATTTTCAAATGTAATATTGATACAAGTGACAATGTAGTGATTATAATAAATATACATCATTTTTTATTTTCCAACAATTTAAAAAAAAAAGGACCGGACCGGCACCAAGTTCAGACCGGAACCAACCAGGTAGACCGGACCGAAACCGGGTCCGGGGATAACCGGTGAGTGGATACTGCTATGTGCTAGTGGACAATGATCAGTGACACTGACCTGACCAAGCTCCTAATTGCAATGAAGAACATGAAGATAAAGGTCCTGAGTAATGTAGCTACACGGCCAGAATTCAGTGAGGTATTGAGAAGGAAGAGGCATAAGAATGAAGATCAAAAGCTGAAAGTTACAGCTGTAATGCTGTATTGAGGACAAGGTGGGTTGTCTAAGGGGAAGATATGATAGGGCCTCGGGTCAATTTTTTTTTTCCTTTTCCTAATTAACCCCCCTCCCACGCCCAACCCCCCAAACCACCCCAAATGGCCCAAAATCCCCAACCCAACCCAAAAAGTTAAAAAAAATTGAAAAAAAAATAAAAAGCCCAAAACTGAGCCCGAACCGGCCGGGTCGGTTCGGTTTTGGGTGACCCGAGCCCGCACCGGGAACCCCCGGACCGGGCCTACCCAAACCGGTCACTGGCCGAGCCACCGGGCCGAGCCGGTTCAGCATTGTGCCGGTTCCGAGTCGAGCCACCCGACCTGAGTCCACCCCTAATAACAACATACACTACTAGAAAATGTTGTATTTGGTGCAGTTGTTTTAGTCTATTTGCGACGATTTTGAACCGCAACAATTGCCGGAGCAGCAAAAACTGGAAAAGGTTAATTGCTGCAGTTCAAAACCGCAGCAAATAGTAGTATAATTTATAAAAAAACTTATGGTTGCGGTTATGGTACGACTGCAGCAAATAATACAAAATGATATGCATAGCACTGTTTATGATCGGCCGCAGCAAATGATATATATCATACCTTAATTTAGTGGTAGCTTTTCTAATTATGGTTGGACTCGGGTCGGGCCACCGGGCCCGTGGACCAGCCTGGCCCGCTACTGTGCAGGACCGGGTCAGGCCTAGGCCTGAGGTAGGGCGGGTCCGGACTCGGGTCTCAATTTTGGTGAACCGGCCCGGCCGGGTCGGGCCCGGGCCAAATTGAATTTTTTTAATTTTTTTCATTTTGGGGTTCCACCCGGGTTGGGCTTGATGGGTAGGGTGGGTTTGGGGGGGGTTGGGAGGGGGGGAGGGTTAGGAAAGCTAAAAAAAAAATCCAAACCGGAGGCCCGGCCCGGCCCGGACCCGGTGGCAACCCGGGCCGGTCCCGGGTCCACTATTCTTGAACCGCCGGCCCGCCCGGGCCTAGGCCCGACCCGGACCCGGCCCGGACCCGAGTCCATCCCTATTTCTAATTCACTTAAATGGACAATTTGTGCTGTTTTGCACCCAACAAAATTATACTCATACAATTACAAGTGCGCATATAAAACTATCCACAGTATCCAATTACAAAACTTCACTTATCCAACGTCACTAAATACTATGGAGTAGTACATGTCCAATATAATACAAAAACTACTGGGTGCTAACAAAATAATTAATATCAATAATGTTTCCACATTTCTTCCTTAGATCCAAAAGCAGCTGCCACCACCTAGGTTGCACATTTTATGAAAGATAGTATTACTATTGGAAACGTGATAATAGAACTGTAATGCTATTTATAAACATATATAATGCAACTCACACCTTCATCCAATCTCACCGTCTCAAACTTAGGCTTATATGTTTAAATCAACAACTTGATCCCTCAATATAGGGATTTACCCGCAAACCTATAAAAGACTATTTAATGAATAAAATCACATCCAATATTCGGCATTTAAATACATTTAACATGAGATAAAAGACACATATCCTCCAAAATAGGAAAAAAAGACTTTACTTGTGCAACTACATTATTATAACTACTTATTTGACTGGATTAGCCTAATAATAAAAAACAGCAAATTTAAATAGATGAAATGAAAATAAATGGCAGGTTTATCATAATCTTTTAAATACAAGCATTATTCATTCAATTTAAAAAAATCATTTATAAAAAACAAACCCAAATTAACTAAATCTGCCACTTTAGCTACAACATTAACAAATTCAATACACTTACTCTTCTTAATCAAATCTACCACTACCAGATGGACTTATAATTGAAAAAACCAACCCTCCTCATTTCTTCAATGAAAAGATCACTTATGTGAGTTAAAATGTTCAATACTAAAAATGTAATTACAGAATGGAAGAAGAAGCAGGTTCCCACTACTAGAGGATGCTGCTACTATGAATTATCAAAGGAAGGAAAACAACTAGTCTACAAATCCACAAGATATCAAAATCTATTTTTGCTAAACTTCTATTGAAATACAAACTAACACAGTCCTTTTGGCTATTAAACGCATGAAAGTTCAAGTTATCATTGAATCACTCGTTAACCCAAGAGGCCTAGAGTGCGGCTTTGCTTCTGGTTACTAATTAAATCATTTAGAGTCACATCAACTCTAAAAATAGTTAACATAATCAGGTTAAAAATAAGTATCCAAATATCATTACTTTTTTAGTAACAGAGTATATCATATTGTTAACATGAGTTTCGAATTAAGGAAAAAAATCAAGGATTCAACACGAAATAAATTAGTTGGAAAAGAGAAGATAAACATAGTATAGAGCTTAAATTACCTTAGTAATTGACCTTTTAGATGCTGAGAATATAGATATGGTCAGGAGCTACGACTCTTGAATGACTCCTCTATTTGTCATTCTCTTCAGTGGTTGTGTTCTCTTCCCCCAGGTTGAAAAAGCAAGCCTGCAAAAAACAAGTTTGAATATAAAATATACTCATTAAATGGATAACCAAGCACATGGAACAGAATTAAAACTCTAGAGTTCTATTTAATGAAATTATATACCAACAATCTATAAAGGAATGATTCTGCCCCTTTGATGTTTGGAAACTGAAAATCCAAATAGGCACTTAATTAATATATGTTAAACACTTAAAATAAGAAACTAACCTCTAAAACTGATAAGTATCAATAGCATCAAAAGGTCAAAGACCTGCAGCAAAAAGTATTGCCAAACAAAATAGAATGCCCCTGCACCAATAAATTTCTTCCTATTAATTTACACAGGCACAAAGGCGTGACTTAACGAGCTTTGTTGAAACAAGACTACAACTGCTAACGTTGAAGCCAAATCACCGTATGAATTTGATTGGCTTTGCTGTTGCACAAAATTTAAACTCAAAGTATGCTTCCCTTCACTTTGTTGGATTTTACGATAATGTACTCAATTAATTTTCTATTTAGTAAGATGATTAGTACAAAAACTGTTATCTAAAACCAACACAGTATAAAACCAACACTACTGAAATCAATTTCATATAGGTATTTTATTAATTAGTGATATTATAAAATGGGAAGAACACATTTAAGCATGTATAAAGACACATTAAACATACATCTAAAATTAAAAATAAATAAAGCATATATAATCTGGACGATGGTATTCT